TTAATATTTATTTTTTAGTTCTCGGCGGACACAACATCTTTGTTGGTATGTGGTGCTGAGGATCGAACCCGGGCCGCACGCATGCCAGGCGAGCGCGCTACAGCTTGAGCCACATCCCCAGCCCACCGAGCCCAGGGTTTGTAGCAGTTTWATACATTCTTTGGAGAAGGCAGGGACCCCCACATACATCATAGCATCTCTTAGCAAATCATCACACACAGCGCGAAAATCAAATAATAACTCTAAAACATGATTGGCACATTCACTGGCGGGAACAAGTTGGGGAGGGGTGATTGGTTACTACAAGAGGGGGATTCATTTGAACTGATTGGTTTAAGCCAAGAGGGGTGTTCGTGCTGAACTACATGGTTTCCTAACACGTTATCAACCACCATAAACTACTGGGAGGGTCATCTGGCATCCCAGGTATTTCCCTGTCTCATGCTGATTGGTGGCTGCTAGGGGGTTACTATGGGTCTCCATCTAGCCTGACTGAGTCAGGGACACCTGGAGCAGCAGATCTCTCCTGTTATTTGTAGATAAACCACTTAGCAGGGTGGGAATGTGCCTAGGAGTGCTCTGTGGGTCTTTCCAAGGACAAAGGTCATTTCCCTTCCTTGGACAGGCTTTGCTCTGAGATAGAGGCTGGTTTTTCACTAAATAGGGATGCAGATGTGGCTCAGTAGTTGAATGCCCCCAAGTTCAATCCCCAGTACCCCCCCCAAAAAAAAAGACTCAGTATGGTGTTGTGCTCCTACAGTTCTAGCTACACAGGAAGATAGAAAGTTTGAGGCAAGGCTGGGCAACTCAGATCCTGTCTCAAATAAAAGAATAAGGAAGAAAAAGACTGGGGATGTAGCTTAGAGGTAGAGTACTTGCCTAATATGCGCAAAGCCCTGGGTTCAATCACCACAACCACAAGAAAAGAAAGATTCAACCAACATGTACTAGGACCTGTGTTCAATAACCCTCATGGAGGTCAGGGGGTGGGGAGGAGTAGTACCCCCTCTCCCAAAAAAGAGAAATTCTGAACAATAATTTTTCACTCTTCTGAGATTTCAATTAATTGCTTAGAATTTAGAAAAATGTTAGTTCCTACTACTAGGCTGGTGAGTGAATGAATTTATTATTTCATTATTTAACAAATATATATGGTAGACAATACAAATGAAGACACAAGTGAAAAACAGTGGCTTTTATTGTTTCAGTTAATACAATTTGGGGTGAAGGAAATTAGCAAATTAATGAAGTGACAATTTATGCAATGTATGTACAAAGTATTTCAGACATAGAACTGCTCAAGTTGAGGCCAAGGAGATCAGAATTGACTTGACTTGAGAAGATAAAGCTAAATCAAAATCTTTCCCAGCAAATTATTCTTCCCCAGATCCTTCCAAGAGAATGTGACCCTAACAATACTTTCATTTCTGATTTCTGGCCTTCAGAACTGTGAGAGAAATTCTATCATTTTAGCCTTTCCACACCCCACCACAAAAGGTACATTTTTTTTTTAAAAGAAAGAGTGAGAGAGGAGAGAGAGAGAGAGAGAGAGAGAGAGAGAGAGAGAGAATTTTTGATATTTATTTTTTAGTTCTCTGCGGACACAACATCTTTGTTGGTATGTGGTGCTGAGGATCGAACCCGGGCCGCACGCATGTCAGGCGAGTGCGCTACCGCTTGAGCCACATCCCCAGCCCAAAAGGTACATTTTAAAAGATACTACTGTTTAAAAAAAAATACAGCTGTTTTATGATCCATTCAAATGACAGCATCAGGTGATCAAATACTATAAAAATCTCACCCTGAGACAGGAATTTATGGATAGAATTTCTTTTTTTAAATACTGAACTTAAAAAGAGAAACCCCCAYGAATACTTGGCCATTGGTATGCTGGAAATGAACCCTTGGAAAGCAAAACAAGCAGCTTCAGAGACCCAGCCACATCCTTGTCCACAGAAAGTAGCCTGTGTGAGGACAATGTGCCAAGGACAAAGAAAACTGGTGTCAAACTGTGTGACCCCATCCTGACTCCACCTCTAGTTCACTCCCTAGCTACTGTCCTCTATAATTTATGTGTGTGGAGAGGGTAGATATGGGGGCTGAACTCAGGAGCATTCTGTCTTTGAGGTACAACACAAATTATTTTGAGACAGGGTCTCACTAAATTGCCCTGATGGCCTCAAATTTGGGATTTTCGTGCCTCAGCCTCCCAAATCACTTAGATCACATGTGTGCACGACTGTGCCTGTCTTCTATAAGTATTAAGACACCAGACTAAGGGGTTGCTTCTCACTAGAGATAGTGTAACAGTGGCCCACTTCATGCTTTGACTATAAGCCACTGCAGTTAATTTTTTAAATGCACTCGTCACTGGTTCCTCTTCCCCCCCCTCCTCCCTAATGTCTCCCCTTCCCCAATCTCAGTGAAGGGGAAGAACAAGATTATCTTTCTTCTATTATTAAGATAATTATCTATTATCTTTCTTCTATTATTAAGATTATCTATCTTATCATCTGAGACAGTTAATCTGTCCTTGAGCACACACCCACCTTGGGAACTAATTCAGACTTTGGGGATGGTACCAAAAGATCAAGGAAATGACTACTTCCCAAATTAACAGATGAATTACAACTCTACAGAGAACAGGAATGTAGCCTTGGAGTCACCTCTTTAAAAAAACCTCTGTTTCCCTTGAAGGGCAGAATCACAGCCTCTGGGGCAGAGTCCTCCTATATTAGCAAAGCAATAACCCCCCCCCTTCTTCTCAAAACCATGTACTTGTTAGCATCCAGCAAAGCAATAACCTTTTTTCCCCCCTTTTTCTTAAAACCATGTACTTGTTAGCATCTAGGACAAGGACCAAGCTTTCAGTAACAAAACCAGTAACCTGAAATAACTAGATGATAACCAATCTTTTACTTTCCTATTGTTCTGTCTCCCTGTGCACACATTATAAGGAAGATAACTTTGTTCTGTTTCTGCTTTCTTTAGTTCTTCTGTGCCGCAGTCTGGCTGGGCACAAAATCACGAGCCATGTAGATTCAAACAGCAATTCTTTATTYCCGAACTCACAGGGGCACTCTACACACGTTCTGGGGAAATCCACGTTCTGCACATGTTCTGGGAATAGGGCGTGCCTGAGGCAGCAGAATACGCCCTATTCCCAGCAGGGTACACCCTAAACCTGGATCCGCCCTAATCCAGTAGGATCCTCCCTAAACCTGGATCCACCCTGGTCCTTGAGCAGGGTCACCTTTCTCAAACATACATGCAATGTCACTGCAAATGTCCAAGGCAAGTCCATTTCCACGAGTCCTTCCTCTAAGCAACATGGGGTACGCTGGCAAGGAAATTGTCATACCTACTTGGCTAATGGCTCTCAGCACTTCTGTGCTTATAAAACCAACCTCTTCTGCTCAGCTCACTGGAACACTTATTCTATTTTAAGAAATGAAGTGTTGTCCAGTTGGAACAACACTGGAAGCACAAAACAAAGTCAAACAAGATCTGTAAGCTAAATCTGTTATAATTTTGTTTTTTGACAACAGCCTATAACTAAAGTTGAAGATAAGGTTTTTCAAGTAGTTGTTTTACCAGGGCTGAATTAGTCTAACCTCAAACAGCAGATAGTAGAGTATTAAAGAAAAATAAATTTCTGAGCATTTGGAAATTAACTAAAAAACATATCAATATTTATTACACCAAAGCAGTCATTCAGACAATGAAATAGTATTTTTAATAAAACAAAAATACCAACTAAGCACAAACTTTTTAAAACAAATTCTACCTTGTTAAACATTAAAAATCAGTAAGTGTTCTGGAGTCAAACAATTTTGTTAAAAGAACAAGTGTAATTCAGTTTTTTAAATAGTATAAATTGCCTGCTAATATGAGGAAGCAAACTATTAAAATAGATTATTCTTATTTTGATTTGAAAGGGTAAAGTTTCTAAGCTGGAAAGCTTGAATTAAAATGTAAAAGATTAG